GTATTGCGGCTTTGGCAGCCCTGTGGTTTATTTATGAAGCTGAGAGAGGGGAGCTGAGGGGAGGGGAGATGGGTGGGGGGAGCTGAGGGGAAGGGAGATGGGGTGTGGGGGGAGCTGAGGGGAGGGGAGATGGGGTGTGGGGGGAGCTGAGGGGAAGGGAGATGGGGTGTGGGGGAGCTGAGGGGAGGGGAGATGGGGTGGGGGGGAGCGGAGGGGAGGGGAGATGGGGTGGGGGGAGCTGAGGGGAGGGGAGATGGGGTGTGGGGGGAGCTGAGGGAAGGGGAGATGGGGTGGGGGGAGATTGCGAGGGTGGCAGACGTGTTTGGGGGCGAGGGGAAGCTCCTGACCTCACCCTTGACAACACACACCTGTTGGTTCCCCCTTTCTTGATCCACCTGCCCCGGTACACCTGCCCTAGCCCCTCACTGCCTCACCCACACTTGTGTACACCCTCACACTTATGTACACCCCTCACACACGTGTGTACACCCTCACACATGTGTGTACACCCCTCATACACGTGTGTACATCCTCACACACGTGTGTACACCCTCACACACGTGTGTACACCCCTCACACACGTGTGTACACCCCTCACACACGTGTGTACACCCTCACACACGTGTGTACACCCTCACACACGTGTGTACACCCCTCACACACGTGTGTACACCCCTCACACACGTGTGTACACCCCTCACACACGTGTGTACACCCTCACACACGTGTGTACACCCTCACACACGTGTGTACACCCCTCACACACGTGTGTACACCCTCACACACGTGTGTACACCCTCACACACGTGTGTACACCCCTCACACACGTGTGTACACCCTCACACACGTGTGTACACCCTCACACACGTGTGTACACCCTCACACACGTGTGTACACCCTCACACACCATCCGTTACCCACCCCACATCTCACGCCCATGGAACAGCTTCCCCCATCAGCAGAACGCTCACCAAGAAGGGAACATGAGAAGGGACAGAAGAAAGTGAGTCTCGAGGCAATGTGCACTAACGTAGATGGGATTACAAATAAAGCAGATGAACTTGGAGAATGGGTACTTGAAGAAAACCCAGACATAATAGCACTCACAGAAACAATGCTAACGAAAAGCATAACAAATGCAGTGTTTCCACAGGACTACTGTGTTGTGAGGAAAGAGAGAGAAGGAAGAGGAGGTGGTGGTGTAGCTCTGCTGGTAAGAAAAGGCTGGGATTTTGAGGAAATGGTTATTCAGGGCTGTGAGGGTTTCAGTGACTATATAACAGGTACAATATCAACTGGAGACAAAAAATTGTAGTCGCAGTCATATATAACCCGCCACCAAATGACAGAAGACCCAGACAGGAATATGATAGAAACAACATGATGTTTACTATTAGAATACGATAGAAACAACTATTATGTTAATGATAACAAAATTATCATTAACATAATAGAGAGAACAGTATCTCGCTAGTAGGAATGGATCTGGACTACTAATCATGGGGGATTTCAACCACGGGAAGATTGATTGGGAGAAAAGAGACCCGCATGGAGGACCAGATACATGGAGAGCTAAGCTGCTGGACGTGGCAACAAGAAACTTTCTTAGCCAGCACATCAAGGAACCGACAAGAATGAGAGGAGAAGATGAACCAGCTATGCTTGATCTGATGTTTACCCTTAATGAGTGGGATATAAGGGAGGTTAAGATGGAAGCCCCCTTAGGAATGAGGGATCACAGTGTAATGATCTTTGAGTACTTGGTAGAGCTAGGACTTATCTCCCCCCAAAAAGAACTAGAAAACAAAAGACTGGCATACCGAAAGGGGAATTATGAGGGGATGAGAAGTTTCCTAAGGGAAAGATTTAGATGTCGGTACACGACATGATGGACTGTCACCCAAAAGTGTCAGGAGGCAGAACACAGGTTTATCCCGGCCCAAAGGGAAAAATCCGAGAAGCAAAAGAAGAATCCATGGTTTAACAGGGCATGTATGGAAGCAAAGGGACTGAACAAAAGGGCATGGAGGAACTTCCGAAATAACAGAACACCAGAAATCAGAGAGAGATAGCAGAGAACCAGGAATGAGTATGTTAGTGTGGGAAGGGAAGCAGAGAAAAATTATGAAAATGATATAGCAAGCAAAGCCAAGACCGATCCAAAGCTACTCCACAGTCACATCAGGAGGAAAACAACAGTGAAAGAACAGGGAATGAAACTTAGAACAGGCGAGGACAGTTATACAGAGAATGACAAAGAGGTGTGTGAGGAACTCAACAAGAGGTTCCAGGAGGTCTTGACAATAGAACATGGTGAGGTCACTGCGCTAGGAGAAAGGGTAGTAAATCAGGCGGCCTTGGAAGGGTTCGAAATTACGAGAGATGAGGTCAAAAGACACCTGTTGGATCTGGATGTGAGAAAGGCTGTTGGTCCAGATGGGATCTTGCCATGGGTATTGAAGTATTGAAAGAGTGTGCAGAGGCACTCTGCTTGCCACTCTCCATAGTGCTCACTGGAGACGGGAGACCTACCAGAAATATGGAAGGCGGCTAATGTGGTCCCAATATACAAAAAGGGTGACAGACAAGAGGCACTGAACTACAGGACAGTGTCCTTAACTTGTATACCATGCAAAGTGATGGAGAAGATCGTGAGAAAAAATTTAGTAACACATCTGGAGAGAAGTGACTTCGTGACAAATCGCCAACATGGGTTCAGGGAGGGTAAATCTTGCCTTACTGGCTTAATAGAATTCTACGATAAGGTGACAAAGATTAAGCAAGAAAGAGAAGACTGGGCAGACAGCATTTTTTTGGACTGTCGGAAAGCCTTTGATACAGTCCCCCATAAGAGGCTGGTACATAAGCTGGAGAGACAGGCAGGAGTAACTGGTAAAGTGCTCCAGTGGATAAGGGAATACCTAAGCAATAGGAAGCAAAGAGTTACAGTGAGGGGTGAGACCTCAGATTGGCGTGAAGTCACCAGTGGAATCCCACAGGGCTCTGTACTCGGTCCTATCCTGTTTCTGATATACGTGAACGATCTCCCGGAGGGTATAGACTCATTCATCTCAATGTTTGTTGACGATGCCAAAATTATGAGAAGGATTAAGACAGAGGAGGACTGCTTGAGGCTTCAAGAAGACCTAGACAAACTAAAGGATTGGTCGAACAAATGGTTGTTAGAGTTTAACCCAAGCAAATGTAATGTAATGAAGATAGGTGTAGGGAGCAGGAGGCCAGTTACAAGGTATCATTTCGGAGATGAAATTCTACACGAGTCAGAGAGAGAGAGAGAGACCTGGGGGTTGATATCACGCCAGACCTGTTCCCTGAAACCCATATCAAGAGGATAACAGCAGCATATGCCAGGTTGGCCAACATACGAACAGCATTTAGACACTTCTGCAAGGAATCATTCAGAACTTAGTGTACCACCTATGTCAGACCAATCCTGGAGTATGCAGCCCCAGCATGGAGTCCATATCCAGTGAAGGATAAGACCAAACTGGAAAAAGTTCAAAGGTTTGCCACCAGACTAGTACCCGGGCTGAGAGGTATGAGCTACGAGGAGAGACTACGGGAATTAAACCTCACGTCGCTAAAAGATAGAAGAGTTAGGGGGGACATGATCACCACCTACAAGATTCTCAGAGGAATTAACAGGGTAGATAAAGACGGGCTATTTAACACAAGGGGCACACGCACAAGGGGACACAGGTAGAAACTGAGTGCCCAAATAAGCCACAGAGATATTAGAAAGAACTTTTTCAGTGTCAGAGTGGTTGACAAATGGAATGCATTAGGCAGTAATGTGTTGGAGGCTGACTCCATACACAGTTTCAAGTGTAGATATGATAGAGCCCAGTAGGCTCTGGAACCTGTACACCTGTTGATTGACAGTTGAGAGGCGGGACCAAAGAGCCAGAGCTCAACCCCCGCAAGCACAATTAGGTGAGTACAATTAGGCGAGTACAAATAGGTGAGTACACACCTGTGTACACCCCCTCACACACGTGTGTACACCCTCACACACGTGTGTATACCCTCACACACGTGTGTACACCCTCACACACACGTGTGTACACCCTCACACACACACGTGTGTACACCCTCAGACACACGTGTGTACACCCTCACACACGTGTGTACACCCTCACACACGTGTGTACACCCTCACACACGTGTGTACACCCTCACACACACGTGTGTACACCCTCACACACACGTGTGTACACCCTCACACACACGTGTGTACACCCTCACACACACGTGTGTACACCCTCACACACACGTGTGTACACCCTCACACACGTGTGTACACCCTCACACACCTGTGTACACCCTCACACGTGTGTACACCCTCACACACACGTGTACACCCTCACACACACGTGTGTACACCCTCACACACACGTGTGTACACCCTCACACACACGTGTGTACACCCTCACACACACGTGTGTACACCCTCACACACACGTGTGTACACCCTCACACACGTGTGTATACCCTCACACACGTGTGTACACCCTCACACACACGTGTGTACACCCTCACACACCTGTGTACACCCTCACACACCTGTGTACACCCTCACACACCTGTGTACACCCTCACACACGCGTGTACACCCTCACACACGCGTGTACACCCTCACACACGTGTGTACACCCTCACACACCTGTGTACACCCTCACACACGTGTGTACACCCTCACACACCTGTGTACATCCTCACACACCTGTGCACACCCTCACACACCTGTGTACACCCTCACACACGTGTGTGCACCTTCACACACGTGTACACCCTCACACACCTGTGTACACCCTCACACACCTGTGTACACCCCTCACACACGTGTGTACACACACCCTCACACACGTGTGTTCACCCTCACACACGTGTGTTCACCCTCACACACGTGTGTACACCCTCACACACGTGTGTACACCCCTCACACACGTGTGTACACCCCTCACACACGTGTGTACACC